TAACGTTGTTAAATGAATGTTTATTGCATTATTTCAGTATCATGTGTGTCACGATGATGGGGTTTAGTGTTTGTGTGAAAGACACTGTGTGCACCTTCTATATATATATATACTGTATATACATATATATATAAGTATTGTCCTCCTCAGCTCGTAGAAAAGCTGTTCGTGATGAGCTTTGGTTCAGTTGTTGGTGGTTATCAGTGCATTACAATGGTTCAGAACAGATATTAGTACAACAATATGTTGGTATATTAACATTACATCCGTTAATGAAATACGGTATTTTATTGTGAATTTAAGTTAAATCTGAAATGTTGCTACCATATTTTTTACGGTGAAGTTCTGGCGACCACAGCTGCCGGTATTTTACCGTAAATGTCACAGATTTATTTATTTTTTTGCAGTGTACGGTTGACTTGGATCACTGAAGGTCAGCAGCAAATTGGTTAATAAAATGGGATTAAATACATAAAGGATATTTGTATCATTTAACATGTTTAATTATTGCAGCTTTGAGTCATATTCTGAGTTGCGTTTAACTGTTTTTATTCATTTTGAGGAAAACTAAATCAGATTTTTTTTTTTTGTGTGAGATGAGATGAGATGCATTAAAGCGTATTCACATTTAATCTAGAGCTACAGTAAGAAAAGCTGTTTGTGATGAGCTTTGGTTCAGTTGTTGGTGGTTATCAGTGCATTACAATGGTTCAGAACAGATATTAGTACAACAATATGTTGGTATATTAACATTACATCCGTTAATGAAATACGGTATTTTATTGTGAATTTAAGTTAAATCTGAAATGTTGCTACCATATTTTTTACGGTGAAGTTCTGGCGACCACAGCTGCCGGTATTTTACCGTAAATGTCACAGATTTATTTATTTTTTTGCAGTGTACGGTTGACTTGGATCACTGAAGGTCAGCAGCAAATTGGTTAATAAAATGGGATTAAATACATAAAGGATATTTGTATCATTTAACATGTTTAATTATTGCAGCTTTTTTGTGAGTGAGTGAGATGAGATGCATTAAAGCATATTCACATTTAATCTAGAGCTACTTTTGCAGTGTACGGTTGACTTGGATCACTGAAGGTCAGCAGCAAATTGGTTAATAAAATGGGATTAAATACATAAAGGATATTTGTATCATTTAACATGTTTAATTATTGCAGCTTTGAGTCATATTCTGAGTTGCGTTTAACTGTTTTTATTCATTTTGAGGAAAACTAAATCAGATTTTTTTTTTTTGTGTGAGATGAGATGAGATGCATTAAAGCGTATTCACATTTAATCTAGAGCTACAGTAACATCTGATTTCTCTCAACATGGCGACAGGAGAGCTTTCAATCAATAAATGGGAAACAAAGTAACTCCGATATTTTCTTGTAGATTTAAAAGTAATGCGATACTTTACTAGTTACTTGAAAAAAGTAATCTGATTACATAACTCACGTTACTTGTAATGCGTTACCCCCAATACTGCTTATCAGTGTAT